CCGCCCCCCCCCCCCCCCCGGCTTTTTTATTTTTTCCTTCCTTCCTCCATTTATTTATTTCATTTTTTTTCTCTCCCCCCCTCCTCTTGGAGCTGTTTGGGGAATTTATTCTTATTATTTTCCCCACTGCTGTGGGGGGTGGTGGCTGCTCTCGCCCGACGCCTCCATCACGAGCCGCCTGCCTCCGTTTATTTATTTTTCGTTCCTCCTTTTTTTATCCCCCACTCCCACCTTTTTGGAAGGAAGAAAAATTCTCCCTCTCTCTCTCTCTCTCTTTTTCTCCTCTCCCCCTCTCTCCCGCGTGCCGGGTGGCAACTGAAACCCTGGTCCCCCCAGTCCCCCGCCCCTAGCACAGCCCCCCCATTCTCTTCCCTCCCTCCCTCCTCCCTTTAAAATTTTTACCTTCCTCCTTTCTCTCCCCTCCTCCCCGCTTCCACCTCACAGCCCCCACCTCCTTTCCACTCCCCCCCAGCCCCGCAACTCCGTTGAGTCCAGAATTTCAGAACCTGGTGCCTAGCTTTGCCGGGATGAGACGGAGCAATGGTAATTATGTGCAGCGGGCTCGTGTTTTTCGGGGGGTTATTCGCTTGGGTGAGACTGGATCTCCGACACCTGAACGAAACCAGGCAACTCCTTTTCCTCCCACCCTGGACCACCACCTGCCATTGAACCTAGGCACTGGGGTACAGCCAGTGGCGGGGGGGAGGGGGGGTAGGAAAGAAAGCACAGTGGGGTCAGGTTTGTTTTTAACCCCGCTGCTGCCAAAGCAAACTCTCCTGGTTAATTTAATTTAATTTTGTTTGATTTAATTTTATTTTGGTTCATTTATTTTTATTTTATTTTATTTACATTTACTCGTTTTGATATTATTTCATTTAATTTTATTCCCTTTTATTTTATGTTTTTGGACAAAAACCCAGGCAGAGAAAATCGTTAGTTTTGTTTTGATCCAGGCGAATTTTCGTGGCTGGATGGGTGTGTTTGTGGATGGGTTGGTTGGCAATTTCCCACCCCCGCATTGAGGCTGAGGGCTGTGGGCTGGTGGGAGAGGTAAAAGACCTGGGAAGGCAAATCGCCACCCCCCTGGCACCCGGTGCGATGTCAGCCAGCATAGTGCCTCAGTTCTACCTCAGCTTCTCGGTAGTGTCGGGGCCCAGGCGGGTGGCGAGGGCTGGGCTGGACTCGCGTTTCTTTGCTCGCCGCCACCTAACGGTGTTTTCCTTTCTCCCCCCTGCACCTTTTGTCTCATCCCCTTCTCTTGTGGCCCCCCTTCCTGCCAGGATGAATTCCACCCCTTCATCGAGGCCCTCCTCCCTCACGTCCGTGCCTTCTCCTACACCTGGTTCAACCTGCAAGCCCGCAAGCGCAAGTACTTCAAGAAGCATGAGAAGCGGATGTCCAAGGACGAGGAGCGCGCTGTGAAGGATGAGCTGCTGGGCGAGAAGCCTGAGATCAAGCAAAAATGGGCGTCCCGGCTCCTGGCCAAGCTGCGCAAAGACATCCGCCCCGAGTTCCGCGAGGACTTCGTGCTGACCATCACCGGCAAGAAGCCGCCTTGCTGCGTCCTCTCCAACCCCGACCAGAAAGGCAAGATCCGGCGCATCGATTGCCTGCGGCAGGCCGACAAGGTGTGGAGACTGGACCTGGTTATGGTCATATTGTTCAAAGGGATCCCCCTCGAAAGTACTGATGGGGAGCGGTTGTACAAATCACCGCAGTGCTCAAACCCAGGCCTCTGCGTCCAGCCCCACCACATTGGAGTCACAATTAAAGAACTGGATCTTTACTTGGCGTATTTTGTTCACACTCCTGGTAAGTCCTCTTTTAAAATCCCCTCCTCCCCCTCTCCACCCCCTGCGTAAAACCCCCTTGTCCCCACTGCAGAGGTACCTTCCCACCTGCCCCTACTCACTGGCATTAATTGGCCTCACATCATCCACAAACTTCTTCTTCCCCCCCCTTCCCCCCAAGGTTAGGGGAAACGGCCTCATGGAGACCTTGTGACTGCCCTCGTCCCTGGGATGCGTGGTTTCTGCCCCTGTGAAAAGCCCGCTCTTCACACAACAGGGCCATGTGCATGCATGTGAAATACCTGAATGCTGAGCAAATGTTAAGGCTAACTGGAGCGGGGGGTGGAGGTATTAAAAAAAGAGAGAGAAATGACGGGATGTGAGAAGCAATTTGATTCTGATGGGGAATTTTCCCTGCTCTTCTGTTTGCTTATACTGTCTCTGAATCCTGGGGTGGTGGGGGAGGAGAGGGGGGTTTCTCTTTTTTCCCCTCCCTGCATCAGCTGTTTCTTTTGTTGCCTAGATTTGGGGGTGGCAGGGTGGCAGTAATGGCAAACCAGCCACAAAACCCAGCTCCCGGCACTCACCACAGCCACTTCTGGGAAGAACCAGGCATTTGCCAAAGGCACTGGCCCAGGCCGGGAAAAGTTTCTCTCTTTCTTTCACCAGAGAGCTGTGGCAGGGGGACGAGGGAATGGCTGCAGCAGGGAGGCAGGGGAGGTGGGGGGTTGAGTCCTAATCTTTCCTTTTAAAACCCTTATGCCGTGCGCTGCCACCCCCGCGAACCATTATGCCTCGGATTTCCTCCTCAGGGCCTCCTCTTATTTTTTTTAACCGCGTGCTGTGAAATCAGGGGGTGTTTTGGCAGGTCAGGCTGGAGGGCTAGCTCGGGGCTTTCCGATCTCCTTAGTTTTGTTTGTTTCTTCCCCACGGCACCCGAGATGCCAGCTCTGGCTCCAGCCAATGCTGACACGCGGCCCGTTTGCTGCTGGTTCTGGACTGCGGGAATGGGAGCACGTGAAGGTTTCTTTGGGCTCACTCATGAGGCCACAGCCGCCTGCAATTTCTTCCCTCTGGTTTTTGTGCCTCTTCCATTTGAGTCTTATTGTCTCCCTCTTCCCCCCCACCCCGGATTTTTACCTGCTGTCTTTCCTCTCTCCCCCTTTCTCCTTCCAGCTCCAACTCGATCTGTCTTCCCTCTCGCCTTCGTCTCTATCTTGTCTTGCTGGGTTCTGGTGTCCCGACTTCCCTGTCCACTTCACGTGTTTCCTAGCTGCTGTAACCCTGCTTTTCTTCCCTTCCCTGTCCCCTCGCCCCTCTGTCACATTCAGGAAGCAGAGGAGAATAAGAGCAAATCTCAGCTGCGTTAACTCTTTAGCCCTGGAGCTTCCTAGCGAGATCCTTTTCGTGCCGACTCACAGGGCCGCAGTGGTTTGTATCCCATGATCTTCCGCCGCCTCGATACACGTGTGCGCCCCTGTTCACGTCGTTTCAGCCTGCCTGCTCAGGTGTTCACCAAAGAGCACCCCCCCTCGGCGTGTGCACAGGCACACCCAGAGTGGCACCATGGGCACATGCACTCACACGCAGAGCCCGTGCGTGCATACACCATACCCACACGCATGTGTTCACAGTAGCACACAATGCCACATGCTCAGGGTGACACTGTCCCATGTTTGTTGCATGCCAATGATTCTCTTGCTTTCCCTCCTGGCTGCTCTGGCCTGGTCACCTTCGCCCCTTATTGATGCATCTTGGAGGGAGTTCTGTCCCAGCTTTGCCTGGCCTGATTGCCCTCTTTTTTCCTCCCTGTGCTCCCAACATGTGCAGCCTGGTTCTGCTCACACCAGGCCCCAGAGCACCCAGTTGTGCCATTGGCTTGGCAGCACCGTCACACACCTGAGGCCAGCTGTGCTGGCTGCTTGGGGCCTCATGAACCCATCCTCGCCCTCCCTGTTCCTTCACACAAGGGCAAGGGCCTAGCAGATGCCATCCGCATGTCGGTCCGTCCGCCTCGCAGGTCCTGTGGTGAGCAAAGGTCCCCGCCACAAACCCAAGGCAGCTCTGCTGGTTGTAGCCTTATTGCTGTCTCCTCCAGCTAGGGCTGACAGGGCTACCAGGGCATCATGGCAGGGCTCATGCTAACACGAGTCCATCTCCCGGGCACCTGTGGGTGGTTGGAGCCTCTGGCCCTTCGTGTCCTGTCCTGGCCTGTCTAATGCAGGACCCCATGGTGGTGGGGCTGAGGCCTGGATGAGGTGAACACGTCACTTGAGGAACCCGCCATGGGCAGGAGTGACCAGAGGCTGGGGTCCATAACTGCCCCCTTTCCCCTGGGGGCCTGTGACTTGTGGCTCAGCCTCTGGTTGTCAGTGATCTCAGCCACAGGCACTGTGTGGCTGGAGGGACATGGCTGATGGCAGTTACTGCCCTGGCCAGTTCGTAGGGATCCCAGCGTCCCTTCGTCCTGGCACCATGGGAACAAAGCACCAGCCTCCCTTGCCCATCCTGCTGTGTCCCCACTGCTGGCTGCGCACCCAGGAAGGAGGGTGCTGAGTCTCCTGGGAGGCATTTTGCTGCAGCCTGCTGGATCCCCAGCAGGATTCTGGGGCAGGAGCCCAGTTTTGGCAGGTGGGGGCCAAGCAGACCAGGTTCCCCTGCAGTGTCATGTTCCCTCCTGGGAGCCCAACGCTCTTACCCTCCTGGTAGGATTTGCCTCCCTGCCTATTCACATTTTTGGGCAGGGAGTGGAACCTGTTGGGTAGAGCAGGCCAGGGAGGCCCCAGATGACAGGACACCTGAGTTTGAAGGAGTGTGGGAGCCCCGTGCCAGGACACTTGGGTTCTGCTGACTCACAGCCTGGGCTTGGAAAGGCTGAGATAGGGATCTGGAGACAGCGGAGACTCCTGCAGCGGGCAGGCGGGGGCACGAGATGTGCTGGAGAATTTTGGGCACCCTCCCCACCCCTGTCCCCAAGGCAAATTCCTCACTCCTCAGCTGCCAGTGCGCACCCATTCCTGGAAGTGCTGGGGCAGCTGGCACAGATCCAGGCGGAGATGAGGATCAGGGCGGTGCCAGGGCTGGGCCAGCCTAGTTGAGATCAGTGCCCTCCCAGCCCCTGTGGGCTCAGCTCCCATCCCCACCAGGCCTTGCCAGGCAGGCTGTCCGTCAGCAGGGCATCCCCCTGGATGCATTGAGGGCAGGGGTTGTAGCCTGGGAGCCAAAGTCGGGCCAGGCCAAGGCTTTGTAGGAGGTGTTTGGGCCTGTCAAGGGGCGTTGGGTGCTTCGATACCCCTGGGACAAGTCAGGTCCAAGCCAGACCAGGTCTCACTGGTGCTCCTAGTCCCTTTCCACCCAGCCAGAGCCCCTTGCGCTGCTTCCCTGGCTGACGGCAGGGGGCTTTGCCTGATCACAGTGAGGTCCAATCTAAGTCGCACTGGAGTGACTCCAGATTCCAGCACTGAGCAGCGTTCGCAGGTGGATGGAACCCAGTCAGGATGTAGCCAAAGGGTGCGGGTTAATGCTAGATGTAGCCTGTGCAGAGTCCCTGGCCTGCTCAGGGCTCAGCACTCCCTGGCTGAGGGGGCCGGCCTGAAAGGTGCCTTTCATGGGGCCTGGCCATGTCAACACAGCCCCACAAAGCCTGATTTTCTCCTGTGTTTGTTTGTGTTTACACTGGGGAGTGGGTGCGGGGCAGAGGGACCAGGCAAGCGCTGGAAGGGGGTGGGGGGGGCACCTAGTGCCATAGGGACCCCATTCCCCAGCTCCACTCCACTCCCTCCTTTCACCCTGAGCAGGGGGGAATCTCTCTCTCCCCTTCTCCTGCCCTGAGGCAGCAGAGGATGTTGTGAACACATCTGTCCCATGGCCCCCCCCGGCACTGGCCCGGCAGCATGGCCAAGAGGAAGAGTGCAATGGGTTTAGGAAGCTGGGATGGGGAATCCCCGCAGCTGCAGCTCATTCCCCCTCTGCTCTGCACTTCTTCCATGGATCCAGCTTGAACCCTGGCTTTCCAGGTCAGGGAGGAAACCCGGGGTTCAGGCACAGCTGCTGCTCGCCCATGGACAGGACATGATGTCACGTTCCCAGGTCCCTGGGGAGGGGAGCTTTGTACCCCTCACAGTGGTGGCTCTAGAGGATGGTGGCCAGTCCAGCTGCTGTTGCCGTCTAACCCATATCGTTACTGTTCAAGGGGGGATTGAACCATAGAGCCATGGACACAGCCTTGGACAGGACCTGAGTATCCCTCCCTGTTGCCCTGCTTGTAGCCCTGGGGGTCTCCTGCCAGGAGTCATTCACAGTCACCCCACTGAGTGGCTAGTATCGACTGGGCATGGGCTGGCATGAGACCCCGGGCACACATCGGTCCTGCCCAGAGCTTCTGGGTGCCGCATATGTTGCCCTCTCCATGGGACATCAAGTAGCTGGCCTGTGCCTAAATGTTAGCCCCCATCCTCGGCAGTCCCTAGCCCCCCGACAGGGCCAGCAGCCACACCAAGAGACCAGCCTGACACTTGTGACCAGCTTGGGGCCTGGGTTAGAGTCTACAGTCAGCACCCAAGGCTCCAACTGCCCTCCTTTTGGAATACATTTTGGCTGGGTCATGGGTGCCCTGGGCTTGTCACTTCCATCCTGTGCCCCCCCGACCACCGCCTCTGGGTACAAACAGTTGTAACTCCACTCATCTGAGAAATTAGTGTTTTAGCAGTGGCAGAAGCTATGAACAGCCTGGTGGGACAGTGAGCAGCAGCCTGGTGAGACAGCAGGGGACAGAGATTCTCCGTGGGACATAGCACAGAGACCATTCGGGAGTAGGGCTGCGGGGTGGTACCCGCGGAGGTGGGGCAGGATTCCTGGGTTCTCTCCCAGCTTGGAGAGGGGTCCTGCTGGGGTGGGATGTGTTGTTATTAGTCAGGGCCCCTGGCAATTGCTCCTAGCACTCAGGAGGAGGTTGGGACATAATGGTTAGAGTGAAGATGCTTCTTCCTTGTGGTGCAGTTGTTTTGCCAAGTGATCATAGCT